TCCTAGATGGGGTAGTCAGATAACTGTGGATGTTGTGGTGAACGCAACACTTCACATTTCGCTCGCTATATTTGAATCCAACGTAGCAGGGGCTAGCCTCATCTCTCTGATTTACTCTTCGTTTGTTATCGGTGTTTAAAAAAACTGTATAAAACAAATAGAAGATTTTGATTAATTAGCCAATTACATAAAAACAATATTAATAGATTTTTAATCGAATGCAAAAAAATGAGGAGATATTTATTGTGCATGTTAAGTATGACTACCTACTACTCTGAAAGGAATTCAATGGCAATTTTTGTCATGGATAAGTTTTAGTTTCGATCTAATACCATAGTAATTTTGTTATTATTTGTTGACGTTCTTTTTGTTGTGGTACAGAATATTCTTGTGAACTTGAAGTTCAACGACCTCACCAACCGCATCACCTATAATTTTTATGGCAATCCATTTACGGAAGAGAAGGTAAGTGAAAATAGTATTTAGAAATTTGTCAACAATCATTATGGAGCTGTAGAAAGCATAAAGGAGCCAAAGCAGCGTTAAATAAGAATGGGAGAGGCAGGGCATTACCGTGACCACCGTTGAATTACGACAGAGGGCGTTACAATAAGAAATTGTTATGTTTGCAGTGGTCTCATTATTATTACGACAATTTAACTTCTCCATCAGCCAAGACAGTGTCAATGCTTTAATAGAGTTGCAGATGGTTGTCTTAATCTGCAACATCTTCTCTCTACATTATAATAATAATAATAATAATAAATTATATTAAGCCACAATCATGTACAGGTATAAATTCATTTTTTTTTATATTTTATATTAATTTGAAGATACAAATGTAGCCGCAAATTACATACATTAAAACAAATGTATGTAATTTGCGGCTACATTTGTATCTTCAAATTTTGAAATCGACTTTAACTTGTTAGAATTAAAGTCGGTTTTATAATGTATAGAATTGGAGCCAAAATTTTGCCTTAAAATTTTAAAACCAACTATTATGCCAGGAAGTAAGTCTATTTATCAGTTATTTTTATTAGAGATAGTTTTCGTACAATTTCATTAGGAGCTTCCAGGAAAGTGCGCAGGTATATACCTTTATAACGTAGTGATTACTTACACAGTGATTAAAGCTAAATGGAGAAGAATATAAAAAAACATACCAGTATTTAAAGAAACAATATATTTATTAAACAGCGATAACAAAATCAAATTAATCTGTGAGACGTTGGTAACCTTTAGAATAATTAATAAATAACTCTGGACAATTAATACAGCGCCATCTAGTCCCAAGGTAAGCAGAGCTTGTGTTTGGTGATGGTTGGTTTGGTGGTTTGGTAAGTGATGTAAATACATAGATACTTTTTTGTAAATACATACATAATACACATACTATAGAAAATACCCAGACTGATACAAATGATGAATGTTTGTTTTGTGAGAAGAAGGATGGTGCTAAACTGCCTGACCATCGGGGGCGTCAAATTAGTTATTTATATTATTTTAATTAATTTTTGATTAAAATATTTACTAGTTATCTCTCAAATATTAATTGATTTGATTGATTATAATTTACATAATTAAAAAAAAATTTAAAAATTATAAAAGCCTTTCTATTTCTGGCTTAATTGACATGACAAAATTATGGTGTTAGTAAATTAGAAATATATATTTATCTCTATTAGTTATTTTATAATTATTCAAGTATTTTTATTATTATTATTTACTATATATATTTATTGACTTATAATTTACATATGTAATATTATTTTATGTATTTTCATTAAAAGTAATTTTTAGTACATTCACCTTCTAATACCGCAATAATATGTATAATAGAGCGGTCAGTTTGATCTCAATTCTATAAATTATCGTCATTATGTTGTTTTTAATGTTTGTTGAACTAAGATTTTATGGGTGATTATTCATTTTTGAAATTACTGCATTAAAAGTTTCAAGTATATGCTACAAATTTTTGCACTACTATCTCCTATCTTTGAGTAAAAGTTTGTTAACGGTTTATAAAGATAAAGATTTTTATGTCGACTGTGCAAGTAACGATTCAACTGTGAACCAATATACTTGGTTATTTATTTAATTTAAAGAGTACATCTGTATCAATTTTATATTTTGATGGTCTTGGTGGTCTAGCTGTTTAACTCGCCGCTTTACTTCCAATGATCGCGGGTTCGGTTTAGTACTTTATATTCATGAATTTGACTACTTGTATCGGTCTTGTCTTTTCTATATATATTTAAAAATAACGGAGTATGTTGTTGGCAGTTGTCTAGTGCCCGTAACACATGCTCTACTTAGCTTGGAGCTAGATGGCGCTGTGTATTATCCTGCGTTATTATTGTCATACTTATGATTGAAGTCGGTTTTCTTGTAGAGTACACAATATTGTATGTTTAATATTATATATTTGGAAGTATGTATGTTTGTTACCTGTTCACGACAAGACTAAACGGATATTAATAAAGTTTTACGTGAAATATAGATTGTATCACGAGGATGGATGTAGGTTATTTTTTATCTCAAAAATAATCTAGAAGGGTTGATAATGAATTTGTGCAAATAAAAGTAAATAGCCTATGCAAATTAGTATCATTTCAGTTCTAAATACTGGATTAGATGGGTTATCACTTTTATTGTAGTATGTAAGTACATTGGAAAATTTTAAAAATAATAAGAATAAACGATTTCTAGTCATAGCGGTACAATTAGAGCGTTTTTGATCTGAACCGCGATAGGTTCATAAGGCGTACTGAACGCGGATTGCAGGGATGCCAACCATACCAGTCTATACTCGTACAAATACGAGATTTTTGGCGTTTATACGAGAATATTTGTACCCTCATATAAGTTTGTAGGAGATTTAGTCCCATGAAAATCGGTAAAAATATTAAGTTATCTATCTATACATGTAATAAAACTGTAGAGGTCGAATTTCTGTACGTATAAAAACAAAATTCCAAAAACCGAGTCAGAGGGATGTTAGAAGTGAAATAGAGGTTCTATTTCACTTCTAATACTACTCCATGTGGACGAAGTCGCGGGCTCAGCTAGTTACATAGCGCTTTATTCCCTTATTACTTAATTCATGCACTATTATTTATATTAATATAAAGAACCTGTCAATGAGTAAAGGCCTCTTCGATTTACTGCAACGTATTTATAATTTTCTGTTGATGTCCAGTCCTCATCATGGCAAATATTTTACAAAAAAGTTTCGAATATGAGACATTTTAACTTTCAGGCTTCATAATACTACTTTAAAACCATTCTTTAAGTTTTTCAATCAGGGCAATCAGGCCCTGGTTCAATTATAGAGATAATGGATGATAATGGAATGTACCCACCTGCGCTAACAGTTGCGCTGGCACACTGAAACACGATAAGATGTTTTGTTATCCGTGGCAAATTCACTATAGCATGATGGTTTCCAGGGGGAACCGTAGTACATGGCGACATTTATTTTATCAGATTTTTAGTACAATGGCGGAGAGAGCTAATATAGAGAACGAGTTATTTGTTTATATCCATTCGCCACAAACACGTATTTCACTTGACATAGTAATCGACATTTATATCAGATCACTACAATGTTTTGTATAAAATTTATTTATTTATATCCATTCTTACAACTATTTTTACGTATCCTAACCTAATACAACAGTATAATTAGGTTGTCCAGCGGTTAAGTATACCGCTTTGCCTCCGACGGTCGTGGTTCGATTCCTTGCACCTAGCAATCTATTGTATTCATGAGTTGTTTGTATCGGTCTGGGTGTTTTCTATGTATATTATATATGTATTTGCAAAAAATATATATTTATGTCAGTTGGCTAGTACTCACATCATAAGCTATGTTTAGCTTAAGCCTAGATGGCACTGTGTGAATAGTCCAAGGATATCAGTATTGTATTTATTAACCGTATTTTATAACTATCTAGCTACTTGCCCCGGCTTTACACGGGTGTACATCTATTGCATATGTAAACCTTCCTCTTGAATCACTCTATTAAAATAACCGCTTCAAAATCCTTTGCGTAGTTTTAAATATTTAAGCATAGATAGGAACGGACAGATAGTGACAGCGACTTTATTTTATACCAGTGATATATTTGTGAATTCACTCAGAGCAGAACAGAAGACATCTACATCATTTACTATGATATATAAACCTCTGAAAGTATCAAAACTTCAGTAACCAAAATAGTTCCTCCATGTGGTACTACCAAAATTTAAAAAGGAGAGCGAAGACACTTAGTGGTTTATTACTATTAATAAGAGGGATTAATGGAATTCGTAATAATGGAAATGGTGATCCCTGTTGTTTCACACGGATCTCCTGAAAACAATTATGATGAATTCCTGATGAATTCGAAATAATGGTCTAAATGACCCACTTCATGATCATCCTACCATCCACCACTGACTTTTGTAAGTTCAAACCTCTGTCAATTTTTATTATTTATATTCCGTTATAGATTTCCGGATCCATGTAAACAATATTATTCTACATAGTACTAATGTGGCTACAAATATCGGTCAAAGTTTCCTTACTCTACAAAACGTACCAACACAGTTAGTCTAACTTTATACTTCCACAAACTTAAATGGATTACTTTAAAAACAATTTAAACTTATTACTACGTACTTACTTGCTCGAGGAAACAGAATAGGTAGCGCAGGAATATCTACGTGGTAATTACATTTTGCTTTTCTCCTATTATCTACGGAGAAAATAGTGTATAAAATGAAAAACGTTTCACCTGCGGGTCACGGCCCTGTGAGAGCCGCGATAGTCAATTAAGATAGTCACCGGTAAACGACTGTCGCCACATAATTATCTCGCTCATTCATCGTAACCGTGCTGGAATGACTGCTGCATTAAGCGCAGGCGCAGGGAGGGTGTATTGTGCATCCACAATCAAAACTATAACAACGGACTGCAACGACCGCGAGCGACCAGTCCGCGCGCGCCTCCACGCGCTCCGCAACGTTAGCGAACGAAAGTGAAATTATCTCAGTGAAAATGACAGTGTGGCTACTAACCTTTTGCGTGTTTACCTTCGCTTCGGCTAGTTCTAATGACCAAAATGGGAAATACGATGAGAAAGTGAAGAGTTACCAGCTGGATGTGCCTGGAAAAGAACCGATTACAATTATCGAAAAAGCTCATGATAGTGATATTCCTAAATGGAAGGAAATTACTGTGGATGGAAGTAAAGATGATATGGAGTTGAAGAATTTGATGACGCACATTGTTCACGACATCAATGGGAACACTCCAAGGTGTTACGGACCATCCTGCCAAGAAGGATACATTAATGATGGCCCTACTGATAGTTACGATATTGATATAATCGACGAGGAGAAAATGAAAAAATATCAGGATTATTCAAATGATCGTTTACAAGCAATTTCTGCTCTGGCAGCAAAACTTAAAAAGGATAAAATAAAAGCAGATCGCTATCAAAGTATGGAAACTGAAGATAGCGATGAGGATGGAAATGGAAAAGTGTACACTACCTGGAATAGATTAAAAGTAAAACAACACAAACACCCCTACGATGATAAAGAGGGATGGGTGACACTTGAGCCTGTTGCATGGTCTACTAGTAAAATATCAAAGTGGAAACCAAATGTCAAGAAACAAAAACCTAATCATTGGAATGATAATGATAACAGATTCCCGGATGATGACGGATATAACCCGTATCAAGATTCTGATAATGGCTATAGTTATCCACATAAAAGACCAAGCTTAAGCCGTCCTGGTTATATCAATAATAAACTACAACTGCCTCTTACTTATGATGCGGTTGATGATAATATACCTAAAAGGCCATCATGGAATAAACCAGAACAAACATCTTTTACATCATCCTGGTCTCCAGATGAAGGTAGGCGTCCATATAAACCAAGCTGTGATTCTGAAGAACATCGTCCAAATGATGAAACTGTACTTTATGGAATATCTGATTCTGTGGTAACTGATCATCGTCCATCACATTTCCCATATGAATACGAAGCTCTTCATCCAGCTTCGATGCACAAGCGTCCTATGAGACGACCAACGCAAGTAGTTTACGCTGGAACGCCAGATTTAAACAGTGATTATGGGTCGAGTGATTCTAGACCGCCATACGGTGATGGACAATGGGTATTGTTATCTACGACTAAAGGATATAGAAATAAAAAACGGCAGAGATCTTTAAATCCATCGAGTGCACCAATGGATGGTAGTTCTGAATTTGGATCGGTTACATCGCATCAAGCTGTAGCATTAACTGTTTTGCCTATAGATAATGATAAAAAAAATATGACGACTTCACATGGAGGCTTGTTAGAAGTTGAGAAAAGTTTTCAAACGGTAGAAGAATCTAAACGTGATATGGACAAAAAGAACGATTTAGATATATCGGAGTCCAGGCCTGTCAGAAGAATTATTAGGAAGAAGGTGCCTTCAAACGTAGCGCCTGATAGATCTACTATACTGGCAGCAGTTGGTGCGGGCATGGTGCCTGCCACCATGGCTATGGTAGTCCCCATGATGCTGGGTCGTAGGCGTCGAAGACGAGATCTCAGTGGATCATCAGAGCAAAATATAGACAATATTTTTTATAAATATATAAAATAGGTTGAAGTTATTTATGAAATAATATTTAATACCGAACTGTGATTGCCAAATTTTTAAACGGATGATACCATTATGGTATGATTTCCAAATGGTTACAAATACCGAGTAATTGTTGTATTTATTTGTCATTATTCCTTTTAAAAAGGATTACTAATTTATTTAATAGTTTTGTAAGTATTATTAATATTAATTTATTAAATCATTACATAAATCATGTTTTAATTATCAAACCTGTTCAAATAAGATTCTATTCTTAATTTCACAAATAATAACATAAACTTTATTTAACTTATTTACTAAATGGTTACTGTAATATAATTATTTTTAAATTCTGTAAATGTATTGTACAATAAGATTGCTAAACTATTCTCTTTTAAATACAGTTCTATACATTGACAAATTTTAAAATGTAAGTGTTACTTCTCAGCGACTCGAGCAGTACAAGAAACAAAAAATACCCAAAAAGGTGCCTATTTAGATTAAAACATCTCTATATATAAATATATATTGAAACATTGCATAATATTTTGCATAATATTTTTTTGTATTTAAGTTGATACATTGATCGGTTGATCTATTAGTTCGTTGACGGTTGTAGGTAGCGAGCGAATATATTTCAATATTTAATTGTTATCTATTCCATTCAATAATTTTCACAATACTGTCTGTCAGGCCATGTACTAGCGGTAAAATAAGATGATAAAATCAACAGAAGATGTTGAATATGCCTCGGGCATGTATTACGAGCGAGCTCTCAAACTCGGTGATTCACATTTGGTTACGTGACTATTTTCATTCTAATTTCAATTGTGTATTTATGTTTTTATAATGGGTCATAATGGAATCGTGCATTCGCTTGCGCTAACGGCAGCCGCTGGCAAAGCATGGCCTGTAGAGGACGAGTAGATGAATGTGAGGTCATGTCAGTTAGCACGACTTCTTTCACAAATTCACTAGGAATTTATCACGATACTTTCTAGGAGGAACCGCGTGGAAGTCAACCTGACATGGTACATTGCCATCTATGTTTACCTACGTTCGACTTCATCTTTAGTACAATAGTACAAAGAAAAAAAACAACGACCATTTTGTATAAAATTATTTAATGCAGTAAAGACACGAATCACAAACATTTGACACAATGGATTTATCATAATTCGAATCGTACCGTTGAAAACTTCTATATTTTATACATATAGAATACTAATAAAGTATTTTATTTGTTAATCTGATACATTGTTATCAAAAGTGCTTGGCAAACAAAATAACTATATCGGATTACGTTCACTAATAATTTTTGCTTGATTGCTAATTAAAAAATGAAAAATTTAGGCTATCCAGCCTCTATATATATTAAGGTACATACGTCACATTACTTTTACTTAAGTACTAAGTGCGAACTGTTCCATAAAGAGATTTCTTTCCTTTTTGATACCTTTAACGTATAAAAGAAATTTTAGGTTGTAATACTACTGAAATATTAATAAATAATGCGTGGTAAGATCCTGTTATTTTCTTAATTTTACGTACAAATAATGAACGCGTCAAATTAAAAAAAGTGCATAAAAACAAAAGTCGTAAAATAAATAACATAGCATTATATTATAGCTGTATATGTACTCTATATTCATGTTCATAGTTAATGTTTTATAGTTTCAAAGTTTTTACACTTTTAATACTAGATCGTTTAAAGTAGTTTGCTGATGGCTAAAGTTAAGGACTGTTCTGAATACAGAATGAAGTTTGTTGAAGGTTGTAACAGATGTTAAAATTCAACACTCAACTAGCTAAAAGAATTGTTTTCATATTTTTTTAACAGAATATATTATTTTATCTTATCATTTAATTTATATATTACGTTATTTCTGAACTAGAGGAAACATTTGATTTTTCTTAAGTATAAATATAAAAAATACTAATTTAAAAAATATTATCGGCAAATAAATTGGGCAATATTTTATTTATAAAAGAAACACATATATCCCTACAATAACTGAAGCAGCTTAAAAACGGAGTAATCTGTGAAATTTTTATATGAAGTGAAAGTATAGGTTAACGCACAACTTACAATACTTGTCTCAAAAATTTCTAATTTTGAAATTAGACTTTAAAACTAAAATGTATTTAAGTATTTGTATCAGTACTTTAGTACTCATCATACAAGCTCTGCTCAGCTAGGAACTAGATGACGCTGTGTAACTAGTCCTGTTATTACTGTCGGCGGCTAAAATAGCTCTGTATAACCTATCAGACTTGTTGAGAAACTCTTTTGATATTAATATATTTAAAGTTTTCTTGTAGTCTATAATCAAAACTATAAAAACAAAATTATATATTATGTCACTTCACTCTCTACCATCTCTGTCCAGTCATAAATAGTTTTACTACATGTTTCTACAACAAGACTGATGTCACAGACGTATTCTATTGACACTGGCGATTTTTTCAAAATCTACCTCAGACGGTCCTCTCGACTGATAAATATAGAAGTCTTCAATTACATAAATCTTATAGAGTATATTATCATAAAGTTTAAGGAACTATCGGTCAAAGTCGTGGTAGTAATGTTTGGATCCCGTCGATCTGAAGTTGGGCTCGCAGAGTATCTCTCCAGGGCGACTGTAGATGTTCCCGGTGCGGATTGCTTCCATTAAGTACTTCACGCTGAACAGGCAGATGATCAGCAGGACTGTGGACATCACATTGTTCAAATATGGTATGGACGATTCTTTGTAACGAGTGGTTCGTCTAGTTAGTAAGTTAGTAAAATAAAAACCAGGTGACGGTACAAGACGTCACCTATAATCATCACGTTATTACGTGTCGCTAGTGCTACCTCTCAAAAGTTGCCATTCCTGACGACTGAGATCTCATGCCTCTTATCCTATAATATCGCTGCCTTATCTCACCCAAGCCGAATGCTGGTTGATATTGGAAATAGGTGAGATTGAGATAGATACCCATGAGATGACTTTTTACAAAGTCTACCTTGGTCGGCCGAGTAATTGTGATTATTTTTAAATTTGGAACGTATCTAGATTATTATTTAAATTTGGAACGTATTTATTTCGAGGTAGGTATTGGAATTTATTTGGATTAGAGTAATGTTAATTATTTTTTAAATTTGAAACATACCTAATTTTTTCATGTTAATGGGAGTAGATTTTGATTAATGTTAATTATTTTTTAAACATGGGACGTATTTATTTTGAGGTACTGGAGTTGATTTCGTATAGAGATTACATAAATTTTAACCAAATCTTGGATTTACATGCTTGCTAATATTTAATTACTTAAAATATCAAACATTTGAACTTCGTATTTGGCTTTGCTTGTAGTTTCATTGTCTGTGATCAGCACGTACTAGCTACACGGTTATTGCATTGCAAGCCTTTAATTACCTTTAATTTGTGCACGTAGAAGTCAAAGGATATTAATGGAAGCTTAGAATGCAATATACCTGTATAATACGCGTTTATTACATCCTAAACTAAGTTATATTTGTGAACGATTTGATAATTGTTGAAGTATTTACACATATTTGGAGCTTGACATAAGCACAAGCATGTGTGTAAGAATATTTGTATGCCAAAGTGATGTTTAAATCTATAGTCACAATCTTTTATTCAAATATATATTAATTAAATTACAACCTTCTTAATATATTCATATTTGTTTACACTCCGCTTGTTTTAGCGCGCAAGGGTGACTGTAGTTGAAGTAAAAAGAACTGTACTCTGTGAGATATTAGGATGAAAGTAAATCATAGCAATAGTAATATACATATTAGAATATTATATTATCAAAAAATATGTAATGATTATATAATGTTAAATACGTACAAAATCAAGTCAATTTGCGTCATCCTTTTTTATAATAAAGGTTACAAAATATTTAATTTAATGAACAAATCTTCAAAAATATGATCTTATTTTATCTTAATATATGATGATTATTCCCCTTTTAGGCAATAACTACTGAACGGATTCTGATGAAACTTTACAGTAAAATAGCTTATACATTAGAATAACACATAGGCTATAACTTTCACGCGGGTGAAACCGCGGGTACAGCTAGTGGCCTATATTTTAATATTTTTTATCTACTATCACCCCAGCCACACTTAAACACGTGGATACTCCACGTGTTAATGTCCACTTAATAAAAAATGAACTCACAATCTGCAAGTGCTATCAGTCCCAACTGTATCCAGCCTTCGCATACTGCTTCCCATGCGATGAGCCCTATTGTGAAGAATAAGTGCATGAAGCTGTAGACGAAGAAAGTGGTCACCAAGCACAGGTTAGCCTGGAATAGAGTAACGCGAATTTTCAGCACTGTTGGGAATAAAAAAAAAGTACCGCTGGCGGGCTCCATTATGCAGGGGCGGATCTACCTACGGGCTTTATGGGCTGCAGCCCAGGGCCCCGTGGATATACGTGGAGGCTCACTCTTTTTTTTTAATTTTATTTTTTATATTCATATTCCATTTTACTTACATATTCCTTTTGTTACTTGCGTAATTTTATTCATACCGTTTTAATTATGAAATATTTAGAATTTTTGTCAATTCATGTATAATACATATATATACGTAATACCCAAATTAATACAAACAATCATACTCAAGAATACAATTTTGTACTGTGCGAGAAATCGAACCTACGACTATCGGAAGCAAAGCCTTTATAACAGGCCTATTTGCCTATTATATCAGACAATGTCTCAGATCGGGTAGACAGAGACATCTGGGAAAAGTCATGACGGTATATTGATATTCTTCAAGCCTTTATATCTGGCCTATTTGCCTATTATAACAGACAATGTCTCAGATCGGGTAGACAGAGACATCTGGGAAAATTCATGACGGTATATTGATATTCTTCAAGCCTTTATATCTGGCCTATTTGCCTATTATAACAGACAATGTCTCAGATCGGGTAGACAGAGACATCTGGGAAAATTCATGACGGTATATTGATATTCTTCAAGCCTTTATATCTGGCCTATTTGCCTATTATAACAGACAATGTCTCAGATCGGGTAGACAGAGACATCTGGGAAAATTCATGACGGTATATTGATATTCTTCAAGCCTTTATATCTGGCCTATTTGCCTATTATAACAGACAATGTCTCAGATCGGGTAGACAGAGACATCTGGGAAAAGTCATGACGGTATATTGATATTCTTCAAGCCTTTATATCTGGCCTATTTGCTTATTATATCAGACAATGTCTCAGATCGGGTAGACAGAGACATCTGGGAAAAGTCATGACGGTATATTGATATTCTTCAAGCCTTTATATCAGGCCTATTTGTCTATTATATCAGACAATGTCTCAGATCGGGTAGACAGAGACATCTGGGAAAAGTCATGACGGTATATTGATATTCTTCAAGCCTTTATATCTGGCCTATTTGCTTATTATATCAGACAATGTCTCAGATCGGGTAGACAGAGACATCTGGGAAAAGTCATGACGATATACTGATATTCTTCAAATTAATAATATTTACCCAATACAATACTTTTTGTTACTTTTGTACCGAATTGGCAAGCACACAATGGTAAAATATCCATATGGTACTACAGGTTTATTCAAATAAAGCTGTATCAGTCGAATAATGCTATGTATAACGTGCAATCACCCAAGTGATTGCGTTAAATGTTCCGTTATAATAGACAGTTATTTCCTGTGTAATTTTGCGGGAATGTGGAATGTACCTATTAATGTTTTACATCGGTTTTTATTTTGCAAATCTTCTTCCATATCGTATATAGACGGTAGAAAGCGGAACTGCCGTAATTTGAAAACCTAACTTTACATAAATTCTTTCAGGTTCCTTTATTTCAAACTTTCATATCTCATAGCTATGTTATTGAGAGAGAAAGTTCAAATTGCAATGTATTTAACAATGTGTTGATACATGTTTTAGTTATTAATTTTTGTATGGATGAGGGTCCACAATAATAAATAACTATAATATATCAGGTTTAATCACATAGTGCCATCTAGTCTCAAGTGAAGTAAGACTTGTGTTATGGGTACTAGATAACTGATATAAATAAAAACATTTTTTTGTAAATACATGTATAGAAAACACATAGACCGATACATAAGAAAACACACAGGCAAACAATCATACTCATGAATACAAATATTTGTACCCGACGAGGGATCGAATCCGCGACCATAGGAAGTATGACGGTGTTTTAAACTCCTAGCCCACCGAAGCTCACAAAGTGCTGCATCATTATTAAGTCGGAAACTAGTGTGTTTCTTATCATCCCCTTAATGTGGTGAGAGGCATCTAGGGAGACATTATAAGTCGGTACTACAAAAGAAAAAAAGGGAGAAAATATGTTTATTCGATACACACAACAGTAGGCAATAATAAAAAAGAAAAAACATGTGTATATGGAGCACTAATATGTAATATTAAAAAGGTCTCCCGCTCAGCCTATGTCGTGACGAAAGCAAACAAAAAGTGAAATTATATACCATACAGTTTACTTTCATAGATAGCAGTAGGCTAATGGATATTAGCCAAATTTATATTAGCTTACTGCTATTGTATATTATAAAGGTTATTCTATAAGTAATGTTGGACTAGTCTGAGTTTTTGCCAGGTGTGTTTATTTGGCAGGAGTATGGTGTACACAGTAACACCCACTAGGGGAAGTGCGGGTGAGTTGACAGGTTTTGCGCAGAAAGAAGTCCTTTTTATAAAATTGACATTCATTACGTAGTCAACATAGTCGCTGTCGCTGTCTGTCCCTCCCTATGTATGTATGCATGCTTACATCTTTAAAACTACGCAACGGATTTTGAAGCGGTTTTTTTATTAGATAGAGTGATTCATGTGGAAGGTATACATGTACATGTATTATATAAATATATAATACATGTACACTCGTGCGAAGCCGGGGCGAATAGCTAGGAGAATATAAATTAAGAAATAATCAGTAAAAATCACAAGATCTTACAATGTTTCATTTTTATTGAGCTCCCTATATTTTACCAGTGTTTTAATAACTATGACCACGGATAAATTGAAGAGCAGCGGGTAGATGGTAAACAAAATCTTTTATGGGCAGACATATTCGTCTACCTTCACGCGTTTTCGCTTGTTGCTACTATTGAAACTCGCTCGATATTCATCTCGGCAAACTACATATACTCACAGTATCTTCACGTACATTTAATACACTTTCTGATGGCGATTTGGTTTTTGTTTCATTAAACCAAATCACTAGATTCCAGGCTTTAGATAGCCTATAACCGTCTTCCTGAATGAAATTTTTATATTTATGTATTTCGATCCATTTTCCTCATTCCTCTCTAACCATTCGTGGGATATAAATACGTATAAATATTTGTGATTATTACTAAATATACGTATAAATAATGATCTCGTCAAATTTAAAACAGTATATAATTAGAGTTCTCCTTTGTACAAAATTTGTACCTTGTATTTAAATGTACTATAAAGTATATATAATTCAGAAATAGTATTAAAAATATAACTTACATGATACGCGCCGCATACCAGCACAGTCCCGAATACAAACAACAGAAACGACACGGCGCAATACGATATATAATACGCTATAGTGATCCCGGCCACTAGAGAAGTCTTGTTCTTTCCAAATATGTTCTCCAGGTTCTCGAAGTTTCGAAATTTCTCGTCCTCATAGTTTTCCGAGACGAGCGTGAGCCCCAACTCGTAGAGGTTGTACCCAAACACTGCTATTGCTATTGTCTGAAAGTTAATAATAGTATTCTTAAATTAATTATATTTGAAGAATGTCAAATCTTGAAATTGCATCTAGAGGTAAACAAAGAAGTCGTGTAGGTTCTCTCAGTCTCATATGTCTGTATTTTTAAATCATGTATGTTATGCAAGCTTGTATTTTTTGGTTGTAGTGCGTGAGACAGTGAAATTACGGAATGAGAGGTCTTCGTCATCTTATTTATACCAACCATGCGGTACCGTTCCAGAGGAAATGGCATGGCAACGCATGGGTGGAGTTACAGGTGTTATATGATATGATAATGTGGTGCCCGTAATGCATTTCATGTAGCTATATAGATGACTGTTTCCACTTACCATCAGATGGGCTGTCAATTAATTTACCACTCTAATTTCATAAAAAACTAAGGAAAAGATAAAGAAAAAAAAATGTGCAGAGCTTCTTAGCTTCTAGTAAATTATTTCTTGTCGGCTTAAACTATATTCGGAACAGATTGTAGATTTGAGTAATCATATGTGTCTGTGTAACTACATCTTCTAACGTATATATATGCAATTTATATACGTTTGTATACATTTATATACGTATCTTGAATAAATAGAAATTTGTTTAAGATCTTGGTGGTGTGCCTAATTCTTAATGCAAAAGGTAATTCGGTACGTAGATACTAAATCATGCACTCACCTATCTGTGATCACACCCGTTCTTTTGAACTGAGAAATCAATAAACATATACCTGTCTACTTATGCTTATAACAAAGCATTATATGTCGTATAATTTCCTAATTCAATATTTTAGACTACAATATCCTTCTACGCATGAGCAAAGCAAAACAATACAATCAGGCATCGCTCTAACAACGCCTACTGAAACTTTATAGCAATGTTGTATAATTGGGTCATGTGGCTATTCATTCATGAAAGGATTTTGTGTCTTGTGATTTAAAGATTCTTTCATAGAAATGAATACTTACTATTATAATATAACCAAAGACAATGTTTCCCAAGCGAAGTGGGAAACAGTAGAGAAACTTTCTTGTCATATTGGCTTCATCCGGGATGCTGAAAATTCAAACACATTTATATCAGTCAATTTCACATAAGAGGGTAAAACGATACGAGGAAAATTCACGATAATTACATTCACATTACGGTTTGTAATATGGAGCTTGAAATTCTCATTAAAATATACTCGTTATAACAAATTAGAGAATTTATTAGAAGCCTTTAGAAAAGTATTTACAATGAGTTATGTACAAGATATCATTTATATCATAGTTATATATATAACATAGTTATGCTATTGAATTTATTACATTTGGACATTGAGCCAACTCTCACTGACCGGTACAACGTACCAAACTATACAAGTTTACAAACAATTCAAATTTAGAAACAATACCTTTCATCTTTCGTGTTCAAATCATCAATACTAAATAGGGAGTTGAAATGCGCGAGTCTAAACCCACTGTTCGACATTCACCGCTCTTTTATAACACGAAATGGACAATAAAACGCGCGCAAAGCTGCCTTTGATTGATACACAACCGTTATCGTCCGCAGCGACACTACATGTGCTATTTTCGGGTACATAATCGGTCTGTTACCACCAGTATAATTAGAACTGTGATGGCGTGAGCTGTGAACGGCTCAGGGGGTACGTGTTAAGTGGTTCGGAAGATGCGACATGGTTCGCCGAGTTCTATAAAGGTTAGTATAGGGTGAGGGTACAACGAACGGGCCAAGGTCTTGTACTAGACCTATAAAAAGATGTCCATAGAATGTATATATGTACTTAGAGGGCTTTGGGTCAATATGTCGTTAGAAGTTAATCATATGAACTGACATGACACGTACACTATCATTCAAATTTCAAGGACTATTATGTTTATTTACTAGTTACTAGCTGTATCCTATGTCGTTGCTCGTATCAATATCGTAGAAATGTCCAGTACGCCATGCTAATTGTATTTATTTTTCAGTAAATCTTATTCAAATCTGTCCAGTTCTTTAAGTGTAACTAAATAACAAATATCTAAACACATATACTCGATATATATGATACAAACAATTACAATTACAATTTATGAAGAATCCTCTTTTTTCTCTATATCATAAAATGAAACTTTAAAACATTTTACAATCTGGCAAGTCTACATATTTTTGATAAGAAATTTGGATCCTTTATGAAATAATATTCCACTCGTTTCTCTTCCACTAACATAAGGAAGTCTATATATGTGGACACTTATACACTTACTTCAGCCAGGCCTCCGTGCGCCAGCTTGTTAGGCATTATTAAATTTATTAACTTTTATCAATATTGATATTTAGCAGTTTGAATTCACATAAAATCCTCAAAATAGGTAATGCTGAACAACGTCTACTTAAAAGAGCAACACGCAATTTAATCGTTCTTCATGTGATGAGTCTCCTTTCCAAATGAGCGGAAGAATAAAAAAATATGACCATTCAAAAGTTCTTATATTGAATTTATTTGAATGAAGATTATTTCTACTTCTATTTATGTTTATTTAAAGTAAGTACTCAGATGTTCAGGTAAGGAAGAATCCTATTTCCTTTAGACCTATTAAATTGACATATTCAAATATAGCTTAGTTTAATATTGTAGAAATGTTATATACCCCTCAGTGGATCCAAGGCTTTGCTATGTGAGTATATCACTAGATTGTAATTATTAATTAGATTTTATTTAAAACTATGTGTACTTACCTAATTACTAAGTTACTCTAGTGTATAGTAAGTATAGTACGTAAGTAGTTATAGTAAATTTCGAAAGCACTCAAGATAATTATTTGAAAGTTATCTAGAAAATTTGATGGTTCCATTATTGTTCAGGAGCCATTGTGGTTAATATAATTTAAACTTAAGTAGTTAACATAACTACTTAAGTGGAACTTTGGTTTGTTATAGTAATTTACTTCAGACATAACTATCTGTTTTATTACTGTTGTCCTATGCTTACTATATCTATATATTGTTTGGAATTTCAAACCCAAAAGAATTCATGTCTGTGACGGGGATTGTTAGTAATGTGGGCTGTTGACCCCATTGCTATCAACGTACCAAGTCAGGGTAACCGCCACGCGGTTCCTCCTGGAAACCATCATGATAAATTCCTGATGAATTTGTCACGATGGGCTAACTGACCTGACCTCATGCTCATTTTATCATTCTCCACTGGTGCCCCGCCAGCGTAAACCTTGAGCGCAGGTGGGTGCACAATTCCATTATAATACCTTAAAAAAATAATATTATAAACGCAAAAGTATGTAAGTATGGATGTTTGTTACTCTTTCAAGCAGAAACTACTGAACGGATTTCAATTAACCTTTACAGTAATATAGCTTATATATATACAATAACACATAGGTTATAATTTAAAAAGATATTATATAAATTGGGTGAAATATAATGAAAAATGTTAAGTGTGATGCAGACGAAGTTGGGCGGGGCAGCTAGTAAAAAATATATTAATTACATGAATTATTCATCCCTATCAAACATGACGTTATTATGAGCACAAAGCGATGTGTGTGTCAGTGTCTTGTATTGCATATGGTCAGTACAGTCACCCAAATATAACGATTTTATGTACTTAAAAATATACAACAAAATATATATATATCGGACGGCCTCGGTGGTCTAGCGATTTAGCTCACCGCTTTACTTTGTATGGTTGCGGGTTCGATTTCTTGCACACAGCAAACATTTGTATTCATGAATACGATTGTTTGTATCGGTCTGGGTGTTTTCTATATATAATAATATGTATGTAATTACGAAAAAAAATCTATAAGTGTATTTGTATCAGTTACCTAGTACCCATAACACAGGCTTTAGCTAGCTTAACTTGGGTCTAGAGGCGTTGTGTGAATTGTCCTGAGATTATTATTATTATTATTATAGCCCCCCTCGTTAAATAGGCTATCAAACACTAAAATAATTTACAAAATCGGATGAATAGTATCGGCAATTATACGAAACATCATAACTAAGAAATTTTAACTAATATTAGCTATATATATAGAAAACATTTTAAACAACTTTAAGTATAGTAGTTGCTTTTTCTTTTTTTATATAATACATATTATATGGAACCAACTGTACAGCTGCACCTGCTGAACATCTGTTTAGCATAGGTACCCACTTACCTAGTAATATCAGCGAAGTACGTCCACCTGACCTCACCTGCATATTTTATTCTTTTGTCATAGAAAATACAACTTTATTGCATCTATTCATAGTCCTGCCTGTACATACATTTATATGTAGCAATTTAGATTGTATACGGCTGGTCGTCTGCTTTGATCACTATGACTCATTTATTTTGTTACTTATGTAATTAAATTATTAATATTTTAACAATAATAATCTCAGGACATATCACACAGCGCCATCTAGACCCAAGTTAAGCTAGCTAAAGCTTGTGTTATGGGTACTAGATAATTGATACAAATATACATATATATTTTTTTGGTAAATACATACATATTATACATAGAAAATATCCAAATCGACACAAACAATCATACTCATGAATACAAATGTTAATGCCGTGTGAGGAATCGAACCCGCGATCATCGGAAGTTAGGCAGTGTGACTACCGAGATCGTCGTTTACTATTGTGTAAAACACCATTACGTCTTATGTGGTTGTAACCCATACATAAGCGAAATATCTCCTTTGGAAAGTATACACTGTTTTTATCTCCTCAGGATAGACCTGAGGAGATAAAAACAATTGCTCCAAAGAATATCCTTCTATTCTTGTCCCTAACGGGCCTAGGTAGCGAAATTTGAAAAAGGGTGAGCATTAGATCTCGGTAGGTCGCAGTATTACAGGTAAACACCTGAAAATAGCCCAAGCCCTTCAATAAAACAAATAGACAGAAGAGGGGCGAGCTCACCGCCCCAGCGCCGTCGAATTAGTTTTTAGTTTTAGTATCGGTGGCTATATCACTAGAGAGTCAAAAATATAAACGAAAACAGGATTTTTCGTTTCAACTTTCGAACTCTATTCAAAAGAGAAACACGTAAGTTCTTGCTCCTTCTTCTTGTGATGAGTTTGAGTTCCGAATGACTGGTAGATTTTTTTTATATATGTAAAGACAATTCACAACGGGGCCATCTAGTCCCAAGCTAAGCAGACCTTGTGCATGCATTTTTTTGGAAATAAATACATATAATACATAGAAAACACCCAGACCTATACAAACAATAATACTTATAAATACAAACGTTTGTACGGTGCGAGGAATCGAACCGCGACCATCGGATAGTAAAGCGGTATGCTAAACCACTAGACCACCGAGGCTGTCAATTAAAAAGAATATGTTTATCCAAAAGTGCTTATATTAAGTTTATTTAAATAAAGATTATTTCTTTTTCAATTTCGACTTTTTGTAAGTCCTTTCGATCTTTAGGAAGTTGCGATAACGGACCACTAGGTTAAGACGCTTTTAGCAATTACATTATTATCAGAAGATTGGGTATCTTCTTTTTCCAATCAAGGCCTCGATTTGATATAATATTTGGACCAGTTTTTTTAGTTAGATAATAATGTAGTTGCTAAAAGCGACTTAACCTAGGAGTAGCAAATAAATGAAAAAAAATTAAAAAAGACATATAAGTTATTTAATTGATGATAATCGATTGGTGCTTCCGCCTGCGATATCAGTTTACGCTGTCAGGGCACCAGTGGAGGATGATAAATTGTGCAACGAGGTCAGTTAGCCCATCGTGGCATATTCTCCAGGTATTTATCACCATGATTTCAGGGAAACGCGTGGAAATCAACCTGACATGGTACATTGCTAGCAATGAGGTCATCAGTCCACATTACCAACAATCCCCTTCCTCTATGATTGTACCTCACTCATTAAATTGAAAGATATTTGTCGCAGACGCGATATTTGGCATAGAAATAGACCAGACAGAATGATTCGGGTAAAATTTCAAATCTGTCTCAATATTCAATTTTTCTACGGTAACAAATCTAGATATCAAACCGGTATATGTTATGTCAATCCAAGCGAATATTGGATCACATATTTACATATCCTTATACTTAAGGGGGTCTTCCTATGTGACGGCCTGTTTTTTAGGGATATTTTAGGATTTTTTTTTCTACGACCAGTAAATATTTAGAGCTTCAAGTTTTTTATCATTTATTAACACATATTTGGACAGTATAAATATAAAATTTCAGCTAAAAATATTCAGTCAAACTAGAGTTACAGCGCTCTGAACACCCCCGCCTCGAAAAAAAGAGCTCCCACTTCCTCTACGATTCCGGCTGATCGGCTTATCTGAAAAAAAAAAAAAAACGGCGTTTTAATTTGTAGGCTTAAAAGCACGGAATGACCTATAATCAAATGAATATAAAAAAAATTGGATTTTTGATAGACATTTGAAATAAAAGTTGCAAATTAGGCGTTTTTTTTTTGTTTTTTGCTATAAAAAAATCGAAGTTTTGAAAATTTTCGATTGATAATAGTTCATTCCATGCGTTTACATATATTGAGTGTGCCCTGTAAATTTCAAGTAATTCGGTCCAGCCGTTTCTGAGATACAATGGAGGAAAGTTTGAAAAACACAGTTTTGAGAAAAACGCGTTTAAAGTTTCAAGTCCGTTAAAAACTATTAAAATATCAACTTACTCTCAATCGGCGATGCCTGGTCCATAGAGTATTCCTTCCTCTTCCTCGTGAAACTCTTTTAAAGCAGATTGTTCAGCTCTTGAGTCAATCCTGGCTTGTTTATCGACTTGTCACTTACGCGCCGCTCAGAGCGTAAGATTCGCTTTTCATCCCGTTTCTCAACATACGCTTGGGCTTCACGACCAACAGGGCATCCCATAATCGACATAACTTTTAAAATACCTTGAAAACCTTCATTAAAGATAATAACTGCTAAGTAGCTACCAATTTCAACAACTTTGGGACCAGAATGAAGATGTTTAGGAGCGAAAGTCCAAATCAAAGAATTCAAAGATTCGTTATTGTTTTGTGTCTCTGCTCCTAAACAACGAATTAATAATTCGTCTTTCGATAAATCTTCGAAAACTGGTTTGATAGCTTCTTGGAATTAGAGGTGGTTTATCGTGATGAAATTGGTCCAGTTCATTATTAGCTTCAGCCTTACGCCATTTACACCAACTGTCTTCGCCTTCTGGACAAAATTGATGCTGAGGGTTTTCATCAGAAGAACATTTGTGATAGTACGTTGCCCAAACTTCCTTTCTCATATCTTCAAGCGAATCTGGATGGCGTCGAATTGCTAATCCGTAGAATTTTGTAATTTCTTGGATAACTTTATCAGTAAGTTTACCTGCTCCTTTTCCTCCTATTCCTTTATTGGTTTTATCCTTTTTAAGTCTGTAGAAACGTGTCTAAACTTGTATAAACAAATATATTAATAAAAGGGAGGCCAGGTATAAAGCCGACGGTACACAATATGCCCGGTCTCTAACTGCCAACTCACCGCTCCGAACCGCTCTTTCTTTTACCTGCTGTATCTTTAAAACGACTTCGAATTTTCTAAAATCGCTTTACTACCGTATTCTAGACATGTTAAGGGAGCAATTTATGAAAAAAAAATCGACATTTTCAACCCATCACATAGGAAGACCCCCTTAATCATCGTTTATACTAACGTAAAAAGGTAAAGAGTTTGTTTGTTTGAAGACTACGACTGATTTAATCTTATTTAGTTACTTAACTACATAGTTGATTCTGTATTGTATGTATTTACATATTTCAACTTAAAAATGTATAATTAACACAATTATTTGAAAGAGCAACACCTCAATTTCTGCTCGTTCTTCTTGTGAAGACGGCTTTCCGAATAAGCAGTAGATTAAAAAAATAAGTATGGCTACTAAAAAGTGCTTTTATTTAAATTTATTTGAATAAAGAATTTTCTATTCTATTCTAGAATGCTCTAATATCAATAATTACCAATGGAATTAAAAGAATATGTTAGATTTTATAGTCATATTATTCGGAAAGGTTGGTAATATATTATAGTTTACAAAAAGGAAAAAAAAAACAGAATGGACAACAACCGAAAAAGAAATAATAGCGAGGGTGTCGCGATGTGAGAGGCGGGCTGGAGAAAGGGGGTGACCGCCATTTATTTGTATTTCAAATGTAGAGGCAGGTGAAACCACGGGTCGTAGTTGGTAGCCATAATAAAAATGCAAAGATGAGGCAAACTTGTTCCTATAATAAGATCAAGTCATATAAAGCGGTTGTCATATTAAATTATGGAACTTGCGTTTAAATTTATAGATATAATTAGAATAAGAAAAAGGAAATAGTTTATAAAACATGTTTTATTCAACCAGCCATCCATTTTTGTATTTCTTCATATGGCGAATAGACTAGTAACAACAGTAGGTACCATTCAAAATGTAAACTATATTAAATCCAAAAATATCCAAAAAATATTGGAACATTTGATAAAATAAGATTTATATTCTAAATTTAAAATAATTATTCGTGTAATATACTGCTTTGTAGGGATAGATAAGCGAAGGCATAAAATTAGGATTCCTTTTCTGTGTTCATATGTGGTTTTATTATGATAACTGTGGCATAACGTAGTGATTATTTACTCAGTAGTGTTTAGTAGAGAACACTAAAACTAAAATGTAGTTGAATTGATATTGTTATTTCTCGCTACAGAACAATGACAGAAAATATTACAATTCACATTAGAAATTTTCCCAAGTATTGTTTGGATTTATAATTAGCTCAGGTAAGAATTTCCCGCTATCGCAATTGTAAAAGATTTTATATTACAACAATGCTTATTGTAACGGTACTTTTTTATATCTTGCATCTGGAAAATTTAGATATCTACAATTGAAGAAATAATGCTAAAATATCGTTTATTGAACCCGTGACAATGGCAACGTCAGACAGTTATACCGCTGTACTTTCATAATATTTAGGTTTAATGGTTTTTATAACTAACAGATGGGTACATAATTATTAGTGATGGATTAGGCAGTTACAACAATTTGTAGCCGATTTTCGTGTTATATAAAAAAATATTGCGTATAAAATACAGTTATTATTATTTATCTAAACCGTATCTAAAAGTACTTGTAGTAATTTATAAAATACACTCCTGCTACCCGCCATTTCGCAAACATTGTACAAACATTCATCCCCTATTTTTATATTTCCATATTATTTCTCGAAATAAAAGATTGCCTATGTCCATCCTACTAATACAACATATCTTTAGTAGTCATGAGCATACAGTGTAAGTATTGGTGAACGTATTTACTATGAACGATATGTACCTATATATTTGTAAATAATGTATACTTACACCATGTTATTTACCATAGATAAAGTCACATCGATAAACATTATTCAAAGGAAGTGGGTACATTCTATAACATTCACTCTCACGTATAGAACTCTAAAGTAAAATACTGGTTTAGATAAAAAACTTACTGCGTAAAGTATTTTTTGTTTACACCCACAATTCCGTGTCAAAGAAGTTCCAATTCAAACAGCAAAACGTATTACATTGCACTTTATGAAACAAATATAATCACAACAATGGCACACAATAAGTTCTTTTTGTTTTTATTTATAAAAAATAAATAAAATGTATTTTTAATTTTGGAACATTTGTAGATGCGCGCGCACGTTCGATATCACGAGCGTTGTGGGCCGGCGCGAAGGCATACCGTGACGTCACAAGCAAGGCCGAGACCGCGACGCAACCTATTGACTTAATATGAATAAGAATTAATCGCCAACAAGGTCTGATATTTTAAGTAGATTATAACTATTTTATTGGGATGAATGCGCTCCGTAGGTATTATACCTTCACGACGTTTAGTCGAGATGAGGTAATCAGAGGTATTGTTAATCGTCGACGTTGGGTCGGAGATGTAATATTTTTTATAGTGAACTATAGTGAATATATCAGATTTTTTTTATAAGCACTATGTACTCTTTTAAATTTGACGCGCTCATTATTTATACCCAACATTAAGAAAATTCCGGGATCTTATTTAGTTTTATTTGATAATATAGTGTTCTCTATATTTCGTCTGGGTTTTCTGTGATGATGATAATGAAAGCGTGCACCCGCCTGCGCTAACGGTTTACGATGGCACCAATGGAGGATATTATGATGATGATCCCAGGTCAGTTAGCCCATCGTGATAAATTCACTAGAAACTTAGAAATAGAAATAATATTTATTCAAATAAACTCAATATAAGTACTTTTTAATAGTTATATTTTGTTATTCTACCACTCATTCGGAACGCAGGCTCATCACAACAAGAATGTGCAAGAAACTTGGGTGTTGCTCCTTTGAATAGATGTTTTTTTATAATAAATAATTACGCAATAACAGGTAAAAGACACGTAATAATTCCACAGAAACCGCTACGCACTCATTCTTAGTGCAATCAGATAAAACATTATTATTGTTGTACAAACTCTTTAATTTAGTAATAAGCTTTTTTCAAAGGAAGTGTTTTATACGACATTTGAATTTTATCATGATGTTTTGCAGGGGGAACTACTTGGAGGTCAATCTGATATGGTACGTATCAACATAACCACCATGGGACACCAGTGCTATCAAGAAGTGGTGTCCAAGTCTCTATTATAAAGAATCCCCTCCCCCCGTTCCACAGTGTTACAGTCACCATGATCACAGCTCAACTTAAAAGCAGCGGACAAAACTGTTTTTATGTGGGTTAAACCTCAGTTTAGTTAATATCGTCCAAACATTGTTATCAAATCAACATATTTACTTAGAATCTTACAATTGCATCATGACAAGGAAAAAATAAAACACATTCATGAGATCATCAGTGATATCATGACTTTCCTAATACGATAGGATGCTATTGTATTTAATATCTATATTTACACTCGAACCATTTATAGAACACTAGTTTTTACCCGGGATTTCGTCTGCTTTTTTTAGATAAAATCCTAACTGTATCGCGGATAGTCCAGTAAAGGCAGGTTTTTGTACTTAATGGATTATTTTATTTAATGTGTAGGTCGTAGTCTGGTCGCCGAATAGTCAACACTAGGTTTCCAGTGGACATCCTCAAAATAACCACAAATTTCTAAAAAGGTAGTTCTTTTTATAATGGATTGTCATAGTATTATGTAAACTGCAGGTCTATGATAAAAAAAAAAGATCAAACAACGATATATTCACCAAGTCTAAGGAAACATAAGTGAAATGTATATGTAATATATCTATGTGAACTTGCACCAACTAGTTTTGAACTCTAATAACTTGCAATGGAAGAGAAAATCTAACCACATATATAATCTAGTCCCAGCCTAATAATACTGGTTTTTGATACAGATAACTTGTACCGGTTAGTGCAAAGCGCATTAATGATAGGTCCTGACCTATCATTAAGCTATTCTCACCTGTATACATATAATCTTAGATATTCTGTTCTATTACAAATTATTAGGGTTCAAAATACAAATCTAAACGATTCCTTGTGTTATGAATTTCATCGTACTTCATAGCATAATATTTCAGAAAATACTATTAATATTAATATTTTTAGGTTTTTTGGTGCTATCACAAGAAATAATAGCTGTAAAAAATCTAAAGCAATTAATTTTTTTGTTAAGTTTCTAATTGTATGGCACAGTACATACCTATATGGACGCTGGGGTCGATATATTCGAGAATGCTGATAATTAAAAGCGTAATATAATTATGTATTCTATGATGTTATATAATATAATAAATATAACAAAAAAGAACATGAATGTCAAATTACAAATATTTGAAAATAGAATGTGTCATAACATGTGAAAAAAATACCAAAATAAATCCTTCTTATTGCATACTCTGCGGATGTTATAGACAATAGAGCAAAGTGAAGTACTATAAATTTATAGAGAACATCAATAAGAAAGGTGTATATGTGTGTGTCCAGCCAGTGGCCCGAATGCTGGAATTCCTATTCACCAATTACATAAAATAACACTTATATTTGTGTATATAGTACTTATCATTACTCGTTACATTAATCAAAGTAACTATTTTTGTTCCACAACAATTGAATGTTAGACTATTTACGTGACATGCCAATTGAACTTCTGAACAATGAGACATACCTACATAGTTCAATGAGCTTAGTGAATAGACTCTACTATTTATAGGGTATTGTTCCAAATGAATACTATTAGAGGCATCATGCGTTGGTACCTCGTCATTGATATGTGCAGGATAAGTTGCAGGTTTGGACATGATTATCTATAGCCTTAAGTTTCATTTTTTTTATATGACTGAGTTGAAGGTTTGGACGAAATTCAAAAATTCAAAATTCGAAATTCAAAATATCTTTATTCATGTATGTCTATTACAGATTCTTATGATATGTCAAATCTACCGTCAGTTTTAGTTAATTATTTCGAGATGAGAAGAAATTCAACTCGTATTTTTTTCAAATAAATATTGTATATGTTATACAATATTTATTTGAAAAGAATACGAGTTGAATTTCTTGTCAGTTCTTCTCATCTCGAAATAATTCCAAACTGACGGTAGATTTGACATATCATAAGAGTCTGTAAAACAAATTCAAATTCAAAATATCAAGGACATGAATATATATAGCAATAAGTTATATTTCTTTATATGACTGGAATGATAAACAAGGTGAAAACCTACTTGATGATAAATGGTAACCTACTTGACGGCTAAGATAGATAGAAGGATCAGACGACTTTTTCCAAAATCCTCTACGGTAATATCACGGCGAATCTATAGATATAGTAAAATGAAATAAATCGTCTGTGCAAGAAAAAAGATATGAAAAAAACTATAATTACGGGCTTCATTTGTAGTAATAAAACCAAAAACATTTTTTGTCTGTTCGTATGTCCGTTTATGGACTAGTAAGATATCAAAGGTAGGCTGTAAAAGTTATCTGCGTGGATACATAACTTTCAAATTTCAGCCGCCAAAGCTTTATTTGTACATAGTATTTGGGATATTTGCCTCAACTGTTAGACTTCATAGGGTAGTATTCTCAACTATCGATGACGTGATAAACGTAACAATTGACAAACCCGTTTTTCGTATATTAGATTTTACTTACAACAAGTATAAGGTGGTACTATCATCTCTTGGATTATTAATTTTAATATTCTTTTTTTCATTTCAGATATTATATATACCTTCACGGCTGTTATTCAACATGGGGTAGACAGAGGTATTGTCGACTGTTAACGTCATAATAAAAGTAACACTTGACAAACCCACATTTTGCGAGCTATATTTACTTATTGATTTTACATAAAGATTTCATTATTATTCCAAATAATTTGTCAAGATCATAAAAGTTAGCTCGCAAAATTCCGTAACAGTTTTTCATTAAACCAAGAAAATAGCCGCAGTGTAATTTACAATAGTCTTGTTCAATATAGTTCGCGACTCAGAGCACACAGTTTTGTTCGCACGTTCCCAGCGATGTAATTCATACTTCAGTAGCGTCCTACTCTAGTCAGAAAAAGGTAAGATAAAGGATCCGAGAAAGGATGAGTGAGAGAGATTGCTTTTTTTTTAAGTACAGAAATAATGTCAATTCTTTAGGCCTTAAATGTGTGTTTTTTTTTTGCAAGACTGCTATAGTTTTTTTTACCCGTCCACCGTCCCTCTTCTGTGTTTTTGTTTTCTTTTAGGCCACAGTTGAAGATTGAACCTCTTTATTCATACTTTTCTATAAGCATATATTTTTAAATGTTCTTCCACTGTTCATCTATTGTTTTTCATTAGCATGATTTTTTATTCATATACGGAATCAAATTATTTTTTTTCGTCTACTATTATCTAGTTTTATTATAATCACCATAATAATCGACTGAGAAACCCGTAACCCGTAATACTCTCCAACAACAACAAATACGTGGTCTCGTTTGTTTTAGGCCACATACATGTTTCTTGTACGTGTACATTCTTGTTTCTTTTTACCAATACCATAGATACTTTTATGTAACGAACTAAAGAGCGAAAGATCTGTGAACTAATTTATGTAGTTTATCCTTGGGAGCGTTCTTCGGAACTAGTTCGGTCGTGATCTTCACGAGATTTATTTACAACGCCCTTGGAGTTCCATGAGCACGATGGGAGATCGTTACACTGACGTCATAAACACACATATTGTGATGATACATCATAAAACAAATTACACCTATTAGGTTATATTATGTTGTCTTTGTAGCGTGTATGTAATTGGATTAACCACTTGAAAGATCCCGTTCAATTGAATGAATCGATACATGAATTTATTTTGGTCATTTGGCTTTGGTGCCTGTGGATATCTATGATTCGCGTCGTAATGAATGCAAAAACTAAAAATCTTTATACATATTAGAAACGTTACAATTTTTCTTATACATATATGCGGTTATCATGGAGATTCATGACAACCACATTTATATGTAAAAAATGGATATTATATATAAATAAAAAAAAATTCGTTCTGAAGAATTGTTGGAATTAATACCAGCTGTTGAATTTCATCATCGTACTTCCCGTCCGAAACTAAAATACCATCCTGCTCATCTCGACCGGTGGTCTTTCAATGGCGGTCTTCCACCGTGCGTTGTTCCAGCAACTTTTGGCACGCACAACCATATTGTGGAAATGGTATACCTT